ACGAGGAGAGACTACGGGAATTGAACCTCACTTCGCTGGAAGACAGAAGAGTTAGGGGGGGGGACATGATCACCACATTCAAGATTCTGAAGGGAATTGATAGGGTAGATAAAGACAGGCTGTTTAACACGAGGGGCACACGCACTAGGGGACACAGGTGGAAACTGAGTACCCACATGAGCCACAGAGACGTTAGAAAGAACTTTTTCAGTGTCAGAGTAGTTAACGGATGGAATGCATTAGGAAGTGATGTGGTGGAGGCTGACTCCATACACAGTTTCAAGTGTAGATATGATAGAGCCCAATAGGCTCAGGAACCTGTACACCTGTTGATTGACGGTTGAGAGGCGGGACCAAAGAGCCAGAGCTCAACCCCCGCAAGCGCAAGTAAGTAAGTACAACTAGACAAGTACACCCCCCCCCCACTCCAAGATCTAAGTACTCCACAATGTCCACTTTGCTGAACTGCTCAACACTTGCGGCGCTAATTGGCTTCCACTTATACTGTAAGTGTGCTCACTTACCACCTGGGCACCACTACCACACACCACTCCCCTGCCCAGTGGGTACCACTACCACACACCACTCCCCTGCCCAGTGGGTACCACTACCACACACCACTCCCCTGCCCAGTGGGCACCACTACCACACACCACTCCCCTGCCCAGTGGGCACCACTACCACACACCACTCCCCTGCCCAGTGGGCACCACTACCACACACCACTCCCCTGCCCAGTGGGTACCACTACCACACACCACTCCCCTGCCCAGTGGGCACCACTACCACACACCACTCCCCTGCCCAGTGGGTACACTACCACACACCACTCCCCTGCCCAGTGGGCACCACTACCACACACCACTCCCCTGCCCAGTGGGCACCACTACCACACACCACTCTCCTGCCCAGTGGGTACACTACCACACACCACTCCCCTGCCCAGTGGGCACCACTACCACACACCACTTCCCTGCCCAGTGGGTACCACTACCACACACCACTCCCCTGCCCAGTGGGCACCACTACCACACACCACTCCCCTGCCCAGTGGGCACCACTACCACACACCACTCCCCTGCCCAGTGGGCACCACTACCACACACCACTCCCCTGCCCAGTGGGCACCACTACCACACACCACTCCCCTGCCCAGTGGGCACCACTACCACACACCACTCCCCTGCCCAGTGGGCACCACTACCACACACCACTCCCCTGCCCAGTGGGCACCACTACCACACACCACTCCCCTGCCCAGTGGGCACCACTACCACACACCACTCCCCTGCCCAGTGGGCACCACTACCACACACCACTCCCCTGCCCAGTGGGCACCACTACCACACACCACTCCCCTGCCCAGTGGGCACCACTACCACACACCACTCCCCTGCCCAGTGGGCACCACTACCACACACCACTCCCCTGCCCAGTGGGCACCACTACCACACACCACTCCCCTGCCCAGTGGGCACCACTACCACACACCACTCCCCTGCCCAGTGGGCACCACTACCACACACCACTCCCCTGCCCAGTGGGCACCACTACCACACACCACTCCCCTGCCCAGTGGGTACCACTACCACACACCACTCCCCTACCCAGTGGGCACCACTACCACACACCACTCCCCTGCCCAGTGGGCACCACTACCACACACCACTCCCCTGCCCAGTGGGCACCACTACCACACACCACTCCCCTGCCCAGTGGGCACCACTACCACACACCACTCCCCTGCCCAGTGGGCACCACTACCACACACCACTCCCCTGCCCAGTGGGCACCACTACCACACACCACTCCCCTGCCCAGTGGGCACCACTACCACACACCACTCCCCTGCCCAGTGGGCACCACTACCACACACCACTCCCCTGCCCAGTGGGCACCACTACCACACACCACTCCCCTGCCCAGTGGGCACCACTACCACACACCACTCCCCTGCCCAGTGGGCACCACTACCACACACCACTCCCCTGCCCAGTGGGCACCACTACCACACACCACTCCCCTGCCCAGTGGGCACCACTACCACACACCACTCCCCTGCCCAGTGGGCACCACTACCACACACCACTCCCCTGCCCAGTGGGCACCACTACCACACACCACTCCCCTGCCCAGTGGGCACCACTACCACACACCACTCCCCTGCCCAGTGGGCACCACTACCACACACCACTCCCCTGCCCAGTGGGCACCACTACCACACACCACTCCCCTGCCCAGTGGGCACCACTACCACACACCACTCCCCTGCCCAGTGGGCACCACTACCACACACCACTCCCCTGCCCAGTGGGCACCACTACCACACACCACTCCCCTGCCCAGTGGGCACCACTACCACACACCACTCCCCTGCCCAGTGGGCACCACTACCACACACCACTCCCCTGCCCAGTGGGCACCACTACCACACACCACTCCCCTGCCCAGTGGGCACCACTACCACACACCACTCCCCTGCCCAGTGGGCACCACTACCACACACCACTCCCCTGCCCAGTGGGCACCACTACCACACACCACTCCCCTGCCCAGTGGGCACCACTACCACACACCACTCCCCTGCCCAGTGGGCACCACTACCACACACCACTCCCCTGCCCAGTGGGCACCACTACCACACACCACTCCCCTGCCCAGTGGGCACCACTACCACACACCACTCCCCTGCCCAGTGGGCACCACTACCACACACCACTCCCCTGCCCAGTGGGCACCACTACCACACACCACTCCCCTGCCCAGTGGGCACCACTACCACACACCACTCCCCTGCCCAGTGGGCACCACTCCCCTGCCCAGTGGGCACCACTACCACACACCACTCCCCTGCCAAGTGGGCACCACTACCACACACCACTCCCCTGCCCAGTGGGCACCACTACCACACACCACTCCCCTGCCCAGTGGGCACCACTACCACACACCACTCCCCTGCCCAGTGGGCACCACTACCACACACCACTCCCCTGCCCAGTGGGCACCACTACCACACACCACTCCCCTGCCCAGTGGGCACCACTACCACACACCACTCCCCTGCCCAGTGGGCACCACTACCACACACCACTCCCCTGCCCAGTGGGCACCACAACCACACACCACTCCCCTGCCCAGTGGGCACCACTACCACACACCACTCCCCTGCCCAGTGGGCACCACTACCACACACCACTCCCCTGCCCAGTGGGCACCACTACCACACACCACTCCCCTGCCCAGTGGGCACCACTACCACACACCACTCCCCTGCCCAGTGGGCACCACTACCACACACCACTCCCCTGCCCAGTGGGCACCACTACCACACACCACTCCCCTGCCCAGTGGGCACCACTACCACACACCACTCCCCTGCCCAGTGGGCACCACTACCACACACCACTCCCCTGCCCAGTGGGCACCACTACCACACACCACTCCCCTGCCCAGTGGGCACCACTACCACACACCACTCCCCTGCCCAGTGGGCACCACTACCACACACCACTCCCCTACCCAGTGGGTACACTACCACACACCACTCCCCTGCCCAGTGGGCACCACTACCACACACCACTCCCCTGCCCAGTGGGCACCACTACCACACACCACTCCCCTGCCCAGTGGGCACCACTACCACACACCACTCCCCTGCCCAGTGGGCACCACTACCACACACCACTCCCCTGCCCAGTGGGCACCACCACTACCACACACCACTCCCCTGCCCTGGGCACCACTACCACACACCACTCCCCTGCCCAGTGGGCACCACTACCACACACCACTCCCCTGCCCAGTGGGTACACTACCACACACCACTCCCCTGCCCAGTGGGCACCACTACCACACACCAACATCAGCTCAACATCACACTCGGATATTGCCTCCACTGGGTAGGGATTACTTTATTGTCTCCACTGGGTAGGGATTACTTTATTGTCTCCACTGGGTAGGGATTACTTTATTGTCTCCACTGGGTAGGGATTACTTTATTGTCTCCACTGGGTAGGGATTACTTTATTGTCTCCACTGGGTAGGGATTACTTTATTGTCTCCACTGGGTAGGGATTACTTTATTGTCTCCACTGGGTAGGGATTACTTTATTGTCTCCACTGGGTAGGGATTACTTTATTGTCTCCACTGGGTAGGGATTACTTTATTGTCTCCACTGGGTAGGGATTACTTTATTGTCTCCACTGGGTAGGGATTACTTTATTGTCTCCACTGGGTAGGGATTACTTTATTGTCTCCACTGGGTAGGGATTACTTTATTGTCTCCACTGGGTAGGGATTACTTTATTGTCTCCACTGGGTAGGGATTACTTTATTGCCTCCACTGGGTAGGGATTACTTATTGCCTCCACTGGGTAGGGATTACTTTATTGCGTCCACTGGGTAGGGATTACTTTATTGCCTCCACTGGGTAGGGATTACTTTATTGCCTCCACTGGGTAGGGATTACTTTATTGCCTCCACTGGGTAGAGATTACTTAATTGCCTCCACTGGGTAGGGATTACTGTATTGCCTCCACTGGGTAGGGATTACTTTATTGTCTCCACTGGGTATGAATTACTTTATTGTCTCCACTGGGTAGGGATTACTTATTGCCCCCACTGGATAGGGATTACTTTAAATATGCACTAATCCTTAGGAACAAGGACGAGGGAGGGCGGGTGGACCATCAACAAGGCGAAGGCTTCCTGTCCCCGTTACGGCCTCTAAGGATGGTGGCCATGAGGTAAATTCAGGAACGACAGGTGAAGCGTGATCCGACCCGGAATATTGACTACGACACGCAGCCCACTATGTATAGTCTGAATAAAACGTCGAGAACAGCACCAAGTCGTGTGTGGAGACATGATCACTTCATACAAAATAGAGATACACAACCACCAAGTCGTATGGGGAGACATGATCACTTCATACAAAATAGAGATTCACAACCACCAAGTTGTATGGGGAGACATGATGAGACATAGACAATATCGCTACTTGTAGCATCAATACCGTTGTTAGTATCGCTAATTGTAGCATCAATACCGTTGTTAGTATCGCTACTTGTAGCATCAATACCGTTGTTAATGTTGCTACTTGTAGCATCAATACCGTTGTTAATATCGCTAATTGTAGCATCAATACCGTTGTTAGTATCGCTAATTGTAGCATCAATACCGTTGTTAATGTTGCTACTTGTAGCATCAATACCGTTGTTAATGTTGCTACTTGTAGCATCAATACCGTTGTTAATGTTGCTACTTGTAGCATCAATACCGTTGTTAATGTTGCTACTTGTAGCATCAATACCGTTGTTAATGTTGCTACTTGTAGCATCATTACCGTTGTTAATGTTGCTACTTGTAGCATCAATACCGTTGATAATGTTGCTACTTGTAGCATCAATACCGTTGTTAATGTTGCTACTTGTAGCATCAATACCGTTGTTAATATCGCTACTTGTAGCATCAATACCGTTGTTAATATCGCTACTTGTAGCATCAATACCGTTGTTAATATTGCTACTTGTAGCATCAATACCGTTGTTAATATCGCTACTTGTAGCATCAATACCGTTGTTAATATTGCTACTTGTAGCATCAATACCGTTGTTAATATCGCTACTTGTAGCATCAATACCGTTGTTAATATTGCTACTTGTAGCATCAATACCGTTGTTAATATCGCTACTTGTAGCATCAATACCGTTGTTAATATTGCTACTTGCTCCCCAGAGACCGCTAACTGTTAAAGGCAGCGACCATTACAATTGAAGAGGCACAGACTCCGTACACAGTAGCGCCATAAAGACGGCAGGGACCTCTATGCTAGTTAATTTGTCGGTAATCATGTATAAAAAGGAAATTGTTCAGCGGGCAGGGGCTGCCGTCGGAGGGGCAGGGGCTGCCGTCGGAGGGGCAGGGGCTGCCATCGGAGGGCAGGGGCGTCCGTCGGAGGGGCAGGGGCTGCCGTCGGAGGGGCAGGGGCTGCCGTCGGAGGGGCAGGGGCTGCCGTCGGAAGGGCAGGGGCTGCCGTCGGAGGGGCAGGGGCTGCCGTCGGAGGGGCAGGGGCTGCCGTCGGAGGGGCAGGGGCTGCCGTCGGAGGGGCAGGGGCTGCCATCGGAGGGGCAGGGGCTGCCGTCGGAGGGGCAGGGGTTGCCGTCGGAGGGGCAGGGGCTGCCGTCGGAGGGCAGGGGCTCCCGTCGGAGGGGCAGGGGCTGCCGTCGGAGGGCAGTGGCTGCCGTCGGAGGGCAGGTGAAGGGGGTATATAAGAGATGGGAGTAGGGTCAATAACACTGTAATACCCCCTGCTATTTTCCCAATGTTTCTTAACGATGTTTTAAGCTGCTGTTGTTATGACGAAGGTCCAGACCAGCAGACGGCGGCCAGAGGTCTGAAAGGGTGGGGGTGGGGAGGGATTATCCCTCCTTCAGGTTAATGACGCTGGTACCTGGGAACACCCGAGGACTCGCCCGAGTTCGTATCCCTTGATCCAACTGGCACAAATCGTTCTGTTTACTACTACGTAAAGAAAAAAAAATCCACGTTTTTGTCTAGGCAGGAACGTATGAACCCAAGCAACCCACCTACCCTGAAGAATTGTGCAAGTGCAGTGCAGTCCAGTGCAAGAGGCACTGAACTACAGGCCAGTGTCCTTGACTTGTATACCATGCAAGGTGATGGAGAAGATCGTGAGAAAAAGCCTGGTAACACATCTGGAGAGAAGGGACTTCGTGACAAATCGGCAACATGGGTTCAGGGAGGGTAAATCTTGCCTGACTGGCTTAATAGAATTCTACGACCAGGTGACAAAGATTAAGCAAGAAAGAGAGGGCTGGGCGGACTGCATTTTCTTGGATTGTCGGAAAGCCTTTGACACAGTACCGCATAAGAGGCTGGTACATAAGCTGGAGAGACAGGCAGGTGTAGCTGGTAAGGTGCTCCAGTGGATAAGGGAGTACCTAAGCAATAGGAAGCAGAGAGTTACGGTGAGGGGTGAGACCTCAGATTGGCGTGAAGTCACCAGTGGAGTCCCACAGGGCTCTGTACTCGGTCCTATCTTGTTTCTGATATATGTAAATGATCTCCCGGAAGGTATCGATTCATTTCTCTCAATGTTTGCGGACGATGCCAAAATTATGAGAAGGATTAAAACAGAAGAGGACTGTTTGAGGCTTCAAGAAGACCTAGACAAGCTGAAGGAATGGTCGAACAATTGGTTGTTAAAGTTTAACCCAACCAAATGTAATGTAATGAAGATAGGTGTAGGGAGCAGGAGGCCAGATACAAGGTATCATCTGGGAGAGGAAATTCTCCAGGAGTCAGAGAAAGAAAAAGACTTGGGGGGTTGATATCACGCCAGACCTGTCTCCTGCAGCACATATCAAGAGGATAATATCAGCGGCATATGCCAGGCTGGCCAACATACGAACGACATTCAGAAACTTGTGTAAAGAATCATTCAGAACTTTGTATACCACATATGTCAGGCCAATCCTGGAGTATGCAGCCCCAGCATGGAGTCCATATCTAGTCAAGGATAAGACTAAACTGGAAAAGGTTCAAAGGTTTGCCACCAGACTAGTACCCGAGCTGAGAGATATGAGCTACGAGGAGAGACTACGGGAATTAAACCTCACTTCGCTGGAAGACAGAAGAGTTAGGGGGGACATGATCACCACATTCAAGATTCTGAAGGGAATTGATAGGGTAGATAAAGACAGGCTATTTAACACAAGGGGACACAGATGGAAACTGAGCGCCCAAATGAGCCACAGAGATATTAGAAAGAACTTTTTTAGTGTCAGAGTGGTTGACAAATGGAATGCATTAGGAAGTGATGTGGTGGAGGCTGACTCCATACACAGTTTCAAGTGTAGATATGATAGAGCCCAATAGGCTCAGGAATCTGTACACCTGTTGATTGACGGTTGAGAGGCGGGACCAAAGAGCCAAAGCTCAACCCCCGCAAACACAACTAGGTGAGTACAACTAGGTGAGTACCCTATCGAGGCCGATACGTAGACAACGTCAATATTGCGGTGTTTTAGTTTGTAGTAATACGTCGCATTTGTAACGGATTAATGTGTTCCCTCACACATTAGTCGAGTAGTGCTTAAATCCGCACTCTGTTGGACTATTCTAGGAGGGTCGAGGGTAAATCCACCCTTTCTGTTGACCCTTACTAAATGGTTCCCGTTAAAATCCACTTCCTCTGTTGGATTTTAGTAGGCGCGTCCCGTCTAAATCCACCCCGTCTTGGTCTATACTATGAGGGTTACCGTTTAAATCCACCCGTTTGTTGCACATACAAGGATATGGTCCTTTATAAATCCACCTCTTCTATCGGCCCATTCAAGGCGGGTCCCGTTTCAATCCAGCCATCTTTTGGCCATATTAAGCGGGTCCATAATTAACAAAAGCAGCATTCTCATGTACAACCACACCCCCCTCCTCCTCCCCTTCCCAAACTGGTTCATTAGCGAAACTTTGTGGTCCAAACTTTTACGAAGAGATAGTGAGAGAACTGCAGCCCGGACAACCTCCAGATCTCAATAATATTACTGCCACGCTCACCATTTATTGTTGTTATAGATTCAGCTACTCGGAACAAGTTGCAAGTAGCACGGTCTATGGTGACCCCGTAACTTACCTGGAACAGGAGCGGTGCCGTCTGGGGATGAGACGAGTTGTTTTAGATTCAGCTACTCGGAACAAAAGTTCCAAGTAGCACGGGCTATGGTGAGCCCTTCAGCGGACCTACCTGGCACAGGAGCGGGGCAAGTAGCACGGGCTATGGTGAGCCCGCAGCGGACCTACCTGGCACAGGAGCGGGGCAAGTAGCACGGGCTATGGTGAGCCCGCAGCGGACCTACCTGGCACAGGAGCGGGGCTGTAACTGAATGACGCTCATCAGCGGGAAATGGGCATTGATCTCTCTACTGAGGATGATGCTACGCGGAAATAGTTCAGGAAATAGGTCTGGAAATAGTTCAGGAAATAGGTCTGGAAATAGTTCAGGAAATAGGTCTGGAAATAGTTCAGGAAATAGGTCTGGAAATAGTTCAGGAAATATGTCTGGAAATAGTTCAGGAAATAGGTCTGGAAATAGTTCAGGAAATAGGTCTGGAAATAGTTCAGGAAATAGGTCTGGAAATAGTTCAGGAAATAGGTCTGGAAATAGTTCAGGAAATAGGTCTGGAAATAGTTCAGGAAATAGGTCTGAACAAAAACGTGTACTGCTTGACGTCATCCCTACTCTATAAAGTAATCTAGCCTATCGTAACCTGACCTAATCTCACGTTGCCTAGTCTTGCCTAGCTTAACTTAGCCTAACGTAACCAATCATATCCTAACCCAATCTAGCCCAAATGTGTGGGGGTTGGGTGTCTATAACTTTTCAGGCAAGTTACTGGCTCTGAATTACTGTCTGCAGCCTGTCCTAATTTGTCCGAACCTAACCTATCCGCACCTAAACAAGGGATGCAATGTTCTGTTTTATTTTTATGTATTTATTTATTTTATTTATATATACAAGAGTTGTTACATTCCTGTACAGCCACTAGCACGCATAGCGTTTAGGGCAGGGCCTTAATCCTAATTTTCCCATTAATACGACCCGCCAAATCGTTTAACAACCAGGGACCCATTCACTGCTGGGTGAACAAAGGCTACAGTTAAGGCGCCTAGTCAATCCTCCCCGGCCGGGATACGAACCCAGGACAAAGCGTTGTGTTGTATATATGGTGTGGAGGAGCCGTGTGGCGTCACTCTGACGACATATAATGCTCCACGTGCCTCGACAGGTTTTAGTGGAGAGGACAAGGCCGTTAGGGACTCTGAGAACAGATTCCACCTGATGCCATCTAGTGACCCCTAACTCCGCAGTGACTTCCTTGGCCTTGTTAAATTACGCGTTGGAAGGATTTAATCTTGAATAGCTGTGTGGGCTGGCCAGTGTTCCCCAGCTGATTAGCCAATAGCCTCCGGGGTTCGAACTCCGACCTGTAGCTGGACCCGTCCTGGAGTCTTGCTCAGCATTATCCTCAACGGGTTTGAAGGAAATGTAGATGTTTATCTCTCAGAATGTTGGGTAATATGTTTATTGTTTGTGATGTGTGTCTATGTATGTATTAACACGATGTACTGAACGGGGTGAGAATAGCTTGAGCTATCTCATCCCTTTGTGTGTATTTTACCTCAATAAACTTATTTCAATTTCAATTTCAACGGGTTTGACGAGCTGCTGTGGCTCTGACAACTCAGACAACTTCAGATTGGCGTTTGTCACATCGTGAGAGACAAACTGTCAATCACACACAACGTCATATTTGGCGTTCTAACAGCGGCATAACGAAGTGGGTTTGACAGCCTGACTTGGCAGGCGTCAGTCTGAAGCGATTTTTGCCCAAGCTGTCAGTCGTACGACCAGGTTACATCCTGGTCCAGATGAGCGGGAAAGAGATACGGCTGCTTCTTGGGGGATGTGTAACAAAAAGGAGGTTTGGTCGAGGACCGGGCCGCGGGGACGCTAAGCCCCGAAATCATCTCAAGATAACCTCAAGATAACCATCACATATAGCAGGACGACGTTGATTTGAGACTGAATCAGCGTTAATCCAACGTTTATTTACGTTACTCGAACGCGATTTTGAGTTGCGTTACTTTGGAACTAACGAGAAGTGAATTTATAAATTGTGGATCTTGTATAAATTTTAAAAATTTTGCCCCGAGGGTATAGTGACCTCTTCTCCCTCCTATAACCTTGGCTTGTTCCATTATCTTCTCCTATATTGTTCACGGGGTCAGGCAGACCCAATTGCCAGGACTAATGATACTCGGTCCAATCATTGACCAATCGATAAGTAACCTTTTTAAAGCTCCGGTGCCGAGAGTTTGAGACAACATGCTCCCCTCTCAGTGGTTGTGTGGGCACTGAGGCAGAGTGTAACATGTACCTGTACTCTGTCCCCAGAGACCTCTGACGGCCGCAGGCAGCAACACCCGCCCTGATTTCCAATAACCTTCAAAACAAATGCTAGCGCACTCTGAGTCTATAGTTTCTTTAATGCTCATAGATCCAGACTACATTAAATTTTATCTTAATTTTGCCCCAAGGGGCGAGTTTATTGGGCAGCGCCACTCATCCTGTGAGTGGACACACCGCCATAGTGACAGTACTGGGCAGCGTTACTCATCCTGTGAGTGGACACACCGCCATAGTGACAGTATTGGGCAGCGTCACTCATCCTGTGAGTGGACACACCGCCATAGTGACAGTATTGGGCAGCGCCACTCATCCTGTGAGTGGACACACCGCCATAGTGACAGTATTGGGCAGCGCCACTCATCCTGTGAGTGGACACACCGCCATAGTGACAGTATTGGGCAGCGCCACTCATCCTGTGAGTGGACACACCGCCATAGTGACAGTATTGGGCAGCGTCACTCATCCTGTGAGTGGACACGCCGCCATAGTGACAGTATTGGGCAGCGTCACTCATCCTGTGAGTGGACACGCCGCCATAGTGACAGTATTGGGCAGCGTCACTCTACTACAAATTAGAGGTATTGTCAGGCAACATCACCGTGACAAGGTAACTGAGGAAAGGAGGATAGAAGCACAAACCAGTGAATCTGTACGATGGTACAACATGGTTGCAGCTGGCAATCCCAATCATTATGGCCGAAGAGGAGGACGACGAGTGAGAGAATCTGTAATAGCGAGAATCCGTCTTGGATACAAATATCCATGGAGATATGGAATGGAAACAACAGTTGAGCAGCGGAGTTGCAGAATCTGTGGTGAGAGTGACGGACACCGCCTTGACCACTATCTACGTGAATGTGAACACCTGAGAGACATTAGGAATATGTGTAGAATAATAAACCCCACATTGTTTGAGTTAGGAAAACACTATTTGTCAAATATAGATACTGTTCTTAAAAGATTTCACCATTTTGCACCTGCAAGATAACGTAAGCTTTTAAGGGTTGATAGATGTTAATCTTCTTGTTTGAGGAGCTGTTCACTTGAGACAGTTAAGCAAGTCCCAGCTGTGTCTGGGTACAAGTGACAGGATGAACAACCCAGCGGGTTTTCTTCCTATTGGGGAGTGTTGTACATGCTGCTCTGGCGGTGTGTCCACTCACAGGATGAGTGACGCTGCCCAGTACTGTCACTATGGTGGTGTGTTCACTCACAGGATGAGTGGTGCTACCCAATACTGTAACTATGGCGGTGTGTCCACTCACAGGATGAGTGACGCTGCCCAGTACTGTCACTATGGTGGTGTGTCCACTCACAGGATGAGTGGTGCTACCCAATACTGTAACTATGGCGGTGTGTCCACTCACAGGATGAGTGGCGCTGCCCAATACTGTCACTATGGTGGTGTGTCCACTCACAGGATGAGTGGCGCTGCCCAATACTGTCACTATGGTGGTGTGTCCACTCACAGGATGAGTGGCGCTGCCCAATACTGTAACTATGGTGGTGTGTCCACTCACAGGATGAGTGGCGCTGCCCAATACTGTAACTATGGCGGTGTGTCCACTCACAGGATGAGTGACGCTGCCCAATACTGTCACTATGGCGGTGTGTCCACTCACAGGATGAGTGACGCTGCCCAATACTGTCACTATGGCGGTGTGTCCACTCACAGGATGAGTGACGCTGCCCAATACTGTAACTATGGCGGTGTGTCCACTCACAGGATGAGTGACGCTGCCCAATACTGTCACTATGGCGGTGTGTCCACTCACAGGATGAGTGGCGCTGCCCAATAAACTTGCCCCTCGGGGCAAAATTAAAAAAAAAAAATTGTGTACCCTGTATAGTGTACCTTGTGGCAGATCAAGAGAACGAATTAATTTATTTAGCAAGGCATTTCGGGAAGGGAACTATGAGGAGAAAACGCCAAGCCATTACGACTATATAGCACTGGGAAGGGGTCAGGATAAGGATTTGGGATGGGACGGGGGAAAGGAATGGTGCCCAACCACTTGTGGACGGTCGGGGATTGAACGCCGACCTGCATGACGCGAGACCGTCTCTCTATCGTCCAGCTCCAAGTTGATGGGGCAAGATATTTGGGTAAGGTTAAGACCAGTGATCCATCAGCTTGTGGAGGGTTGCCAAGGTGATGGATCAGGTGGACCAGACACAAACACGCTGACGTCCAATCATCAGTCAACCCGCGACAAATGATCCAATCAGTCCTATAGATCAAGATAAGCATAAGTGATAAATGATCCACCAGGCTGTTGTTATCTACTGATCGTGTGACAAATAGATGTAAAGGGGGATTTGGCGGGGCCGGGGGGGGATTGTGGGAGGGGGGTATTATTGAAATGTGGGACGGGTGGAGGGGGGGACGGGTGGAGGGGGGGGGGGGGCGGTAGTGGGGGGGGGGAGGGATAGAGAGGGGGGAAGGGGGGGAAAAGAGAGGCAGTGAAGGGATAGTGAATGACTAATTCTCGTCCACTAACAAGTTTTGACCCACTCTAACAAATCCTAAGTCTTTCTAACTAGTTATCAGCTCCTCTAACTAGTCGTAAGCTCCTCTTACTAGTCATAAGCTCCTCTAACTAGTCGTAAGCTCCTCTAACTAGTCATAAGCTCCTCTAACTAGTCATGAGCTCCTCTAACTAGTCATGAGCTCCTCTAACTAGGCATGAGCTCCTCTAACTAGTCATAAGCTCCTCTAACTAGGCATGAGCTCCTCTAACTAGGCATGAGCTCCTCTAACTAGTCATAAGCTCCTCTAACTAGTCATAAGCTCCTCTAACTAGTCATAAGCTCCTCTAACTAGTCATAAGCTCCTCTAACTAGTCATGAGCTCCTCTAACTAGGCATGAGCTCCTCTAACTAGTCATGAGCTCCTCTAACTAGTCATGAGCTCCTCTAACTAGTCACGAGCTCCTCTAACTAGTCACGAGCTCCTCTAACTAGTCATGAGCTCCTCTAACTAGTCATGAGCTCCTCTAACTAGGCATGAGCTCCTCTAACTAGTCATGAGCTCCTCTAACTAGTCATGAGCTCCTCTAACTAGTCATGAGCTCCTCTAACTAGTCATGAGCTCCTCTAACTAGGCATGAGCTCCTCTAACTAGGCATGAGCTCCTCTAACTAGGCATGAGCTCCTCTAACTAGGCATGAGCTCCTCTAACTAGGCATGAGCTCCTCTAACTAGGCATGAGCTCCTCTAACTAGTCATGAGCTCCTCTAACTAGTCACGAGCTCCTCTAACTAGTCATGAGCTCCTCTAACTAGTCATGAGCTCCTCTAACTAGGCATGAGCTCCTCTAACTAGTCATGAGCTCCTCTAACTAGTCATGAGCTCCTCTAACTAGTCATGAGCTCCTCTAACTAGTCATGAGCTCCTCTAACTAGGCATGAGCTCCTCTAACTAGGCATGAGCTCCTCTAACTAGGCATGAGCTCCTCTAACTAGGCATGAGCTCCTCTAACTAGGCATGAGCTCCTCTAACTAGGCATGAGCTCCTCTAACTAGGCATGAGCTCCTCTAACTAGTCATGAGCTCCTCTAACTAGTCATGAGCTCCTCTAACTAGGCATGAGCTCCTCTAACTAGTCATGAGCTCCTCTAACTAGTCATGAGCTCCTCTAACTAGGCATGAGCTCCTCTAACTAGGCATGAGCTCCTCTAACTAGTCATACGCTCCTCTAACTAGTCATAAGTATCTCAATATAAAGCCAAGAACTGTGCTCAATATAAAGCCAAGAACTGTGCTCAATATAGGGCCAAGAACTGTGCCCAGTACAGAGCCAAGAACTGTGCTCAATATAGGGCGGAGAACTACAGGTACAACACGGACAGCATAAATATAGATATCACAGAGCCTAATGGGCTCTGGAACCAGTCATCACTTAGCACTTGCTCGGGTTAAACTCTAGTAGCCATTTGTTGGACCATACCTTCAGTCTGTCCAGGTCATCCGGTAGCTTATTGCTGTTCTCTTTTGTCTTACTCCTTCTCATAATTTTAGCATCATCAGCTAACATAAAGAGGAATGAGTCTATACCTTCTGGAAGATCTTTCACGTATATCAGAAACAGGATAGGTCCGAGTAGAGAGCCCCGTGGGACTCCACTGGTGACATCACGCCAGTCTGAGGTCTCGCCTCTCACTGTAACTCTCTGCTTCCTGTTGTTTAGGTACTCCCTTATCCACTGAAGCACCTTACCACTTACTCCAGGTTGTTTCTCCAACTTATGCAACAGTCTCTTATGGGGTACTGTGTCAAAAGCTTTCTGACAGTCCAAGAAAATGCAGTCTGCCCATCCTTCCCTTTCTTGTTTAATGCTTGTTGGTTGGTCATATAATTCTATTAAACCTGTGAGACACGACTTGTCTTCCCTGAACCCATGTCGGTGGTGTGTTACAAAGGCCCTTCTCCCCAGGTGTGCTACCAGGCTTATTCTCACCATCTTCTCCATCATCTTGCATGGTATACAAGTTAAGGACACTGACCTCTAGCTTAGGGCCTCCTGCCTCTCACCCTTTTTGTATATTGGGGCTACGTTAGCTGTCTTCCACCTCTCTGGTAGGTCTCCTGTTTCCAGTGACTTGTTAATCTGCATAGAGAGTGGCAAGCAAAGTGCTTCTGCACACTCTTTTAGTATCTATGGTGAGATTCCATCAGATCCAACAGCCTTAGTCACGTCTAGATCGAGCAGAAACCTCCTAACTTTATATCTTGTAATTTTCAACATCATCCTCTCCTTCAACGCATTTGTCCCCTGTCTCCCTGAGCGGCTCTCTCCCTCTCCCTCACGACATCCGATTCTCCGTTTATTATGTCAGATGAGGCTGCCGGGCCCAGCATCACTAAGTAGCTGGTGTTGCGGACGTGAGGAACTACCTGTCGCCCCTAACCTGTCCAGGGGTTGTGGGGTGGGGGGGTGTGAGGTGACCAGAATACTGTAGGTGATGCAGGAGAGAGAGAGAGAGAGAGAGAGAGAGAGAGAGAGAGAGAGAGAGAGAGAGAGAGAGAGAGAGAGAGAGAGAGAGAGAGAGAGAGAGAGAAGTTAGCTTAGCGGCTGGTTCCACAGATCAGCGATTGATTCTTAGTTATTGTCTCTTAATTTGAGACAATTATAATTGATAAATTGATAAAATTGTTAATTGCATTTTCCTTGGAGAGATGTTCTGTGCCTCATTCATCCATCCTGTCAACTCCAGCCTCGAACAGTAAACACTGCGATACTTACAGCTAGAAGCGAGTGCCTATATCTTTAAGCTCTTCACTCCAATGCATGCGTGTGTGTGTGTGTGTGTAGTGACCGCACACACCAGACCTTGCAGGTGAGGGTTATATAACAAATGAACCAGTCATGTCCTGAATTGTAAAGCTTAAACGATTGAACAAGTACAACCCAAGCTGAGCTATTGGGCATTTATTCTTGAAACTTTATTGGACATTTATTCTGTAGGATGTAGGCCCTTTTGAGAGAGATATGTGCTCGAAGCTACAGTTTGGACCTATTGCATTCTCACTATCCTGTGTGATGATGAATATGAGCACCATCCTCACTATCCTGTGAGGCAGGGGGAATATGAGCAGCATCCTCACTATCATGTGAGGCGGGGGGATATGAGCACCATCCTCACTATCCTGTGAGGCGGGGGGAATATGAGCAGCATCCTCACTGCTGCTCATATGAATTAAGTCTGGCCATTTTGTATATTAATTTTCTCAGTAGAGATGGTATATCAATATATAATCAAGGCATTCAACTTTCCAAGAAGATTTTCCAACACAAAGACACACAGATCAACCTTGTGCAGTGCATGGACTGGAAAGTTAATCTTACGGAGAGGCATCTCAGCCCCCACCTTCACCAAGAGACAGTCTGCACAACACTTGCTGTGGAGATTGAAATTGTAATAAGTTTATTGAGCTATAAATATACACTAAGGGATGAGGTAGCTCAAGCTATTCTCATATATATATTTATATATATATATATATATATATATATATATATATATATATATATATATATATATATATATATATATATATATATATATTTCCAACACAAGAAGCAGCCTGAACGGTCTCCAGGCATATATGCAACTGAAAACCTTTTGTCCGGTCGTGTTGGTCGAGTGGTTAAGGGATATATATATTATAACTGAAAACTCACACCCCAGAAGTGACTTGAACCCATACTGCCAGAAGCAATGCATCTGATGTATAGGATCCCTTAACCACTCGACCAACACGACCGGACAAAAGGTTTTCAGTTGCATATATGCCTGGAGACCGTTCAGGCTGCTTCTTTTCATATATGTATATATATATATATATATATATATATATATATATATATATATATATATATATATATATATATATATATATGAAAACTTGCCAATCAACTGTTGTTATTGTTATAAACAGCCTCCTGGTGCTTCGGAGCACATTAACTGTTTAATAATTGTAAACAAATCCGCCAAAGATTGAGAAGAGATGTACAGGTTCGTAAGTGCTTGAGCAAACTGCTTCGTGAATCTGGCCCCCCTTAGGTCACCTGTGGGTCGTAGCCAACACCTTCCAACACAGGAAACACCCGCTGGGCCCACCTGGCCGTCTCTTATCAACAGTAGCAGAGCATCAGGAGGCGCTCACCACACACCTTTGTAGGATTATTATGGCCATTCTCCTTCTCGTCCTCCAGTGGTGCCAACCTGCGGTATTCTCGCCCTCCAGTGGTGCCAACCTGCGGTATTCTCACCCTCCAGTGGTGCCAACCTCCATCATTCTCACCCTCCAGTGGTGCCAACCTCCATCATGCTCGCCCTCCAGTGGTGCCAACCTCCATCATTCTCACCCTCCAGTGGTGCCAACCTCCATCATGCTCGCCCTCCAAGACAGCGACACCCTCACCAACCTCAGCCTAGCCCTCAACAAGAGCAGCAAGTCTGAACACGACGCTGCAGCACCACACCAGACCTCACCGGGTGACCAGACAAGGTCAGCTTCCTCCCCAAGATAACAGGTCAGGGCGCCAGCCCCACGCGCAAGAAGTCCGCTACTGACAAATGGAGTGATATCAAGCGTACCCCACCGCCACGGGAAAGGCCATCAGCAGGATATCAATCGAAGCAAAAATGATATTGAGAATTAAATATTTTTAGATCGAAAAGACCAGGAAATACTCTGACACTGGCTCCCAACAGACGGTCCAAAAGTGTTTGGGCACCATTCCTTCCTTCCCCCCCCCCCCCCACGTCCCGTCCCTTCTGAACTGGCTTACACTTTCCGCACGGCGACTACTCAGCTTTATCCATAACCCAGGCTCGGTAGGGATGTTTCTGCCTTATCCAGGATAATATTTCTATCGCCCCTCCTTGAGCCTACCAGGCACGGGAACAGGAAGGGCTCCTGTCAATCTTACTTGACGGAAAGGCTCCTGTCAACCTTGTTAGACGGAAGGGCTCCTGTCAATCTTACTAGACGGAAGGGCTTCTGTCAATCTTACTAGACGGAGGGGCTTCTGTCAACGTTGCTAGATGGAAGAACTCCTGTCAATCTTACTAGACGGATGGGCAATAATACCTAAGCGCCAAGCCATTACGACTATATAGCACTGGGAAGGGGTCAGGATAAGGATTTGGGATGGAACGGAGGGGAAGGAATGGTGCCCAACCACTTGTGGACGGTCGGGGGATTGAACACCGATCTGCATGACGCGAGACCGTCGCTCTACCACAATTTTAGTTTGATTAACTGAGTGGTTTTCGACGTGAAACATTTTTGGAAACTGTCTCAACTCATAAGTTCGTCTATCCATCCTGCGAGTATATTTTCATGGATCATGGATAGATCCATGGGATAGATTTTCAGGATCATGGGATAGATTGACTCACCAGACTACCTATTTACTGGTAGGTAACAGGGGCATGAGGGTAAAAGAAACTCTGCCCATTGTTTCTCGCCGGCGTCCGGGATCGAACCCGGGACCACAGGATCACGCGTCCAGTGTTGTGTCCGCTCAGCCACCGGCTGCCCAAGACCATAGACAAGATAGGTGACCCTCCCTACACACGAAGGAACATGTACCTACAGATGCCAGCCACCACAGGCCAGAGTTAGTTATTTTTGATAACAATTCTTGAAACGCTAATCTCGACAAATTCCAGCATTCGTTGAAAGGGGGTCTTTCTGTTCCTGATATCTTGTTAAATCTTTCCACTAGATAGCAGCAGTCACTGGATTAATCAGAGGTTAAGAGATTAATCAACAACAGCGGTCAACACCAGGAGCCGGTCAGCCGAGCGGACAGCACACTGGACCTGTGGTCCCGGGTTCGATCCCGGGCGCCGGCGAGAAACAATGTGCAAAGTTTCTTTCACCCTATGCCCCTGTTACCTAGCGGTAAAATAGGTACCTGGGTGTTAGTCAGCTGTCACGGGCTGCTTCCTGGGGGTGGAGGCCTGGTCGAGGACCGGGCCGCGGGGACACTAAAGCCCCGAAATCATCTCAAGATAACCTCAAGATAACACAACAAATCATTTTGTTGTGTTGTTGCATTAGACATGGCAGTTGGTTTTGACCTCGCTAATGATTGATGATAATTAAGCCTAAAATAATTTGAATGTGAAGTTCCATTTTACAGTGAATAAGGAAGGGCCATGATTAACAAACTCTAAGAGTAATCCCTTATGGAACTGCAACCCGTTCTCGCACTTGCTTATAGTCAATATTGGCTTATTTAATAAGTGCATATGTGACATACTAATTGATTGTGAATATTTTAGTTTACCTTGAAAAGCTTCATAGAAAACACCGACCTCACCTAACCTTCTTAGTATGTTAAGATAAGCATCTTATTGCTTCTTATTTACAATTATTACTTAACCTATACCGTTGATAGGTTAAGTAATAATTGTAAATAAGAAGCAATAAGATGCTTATCTTAACATACTAAGAAGGTTAGGTGAGGTCGGTGTTTTCTATGAAGCTTTTCAAGGTAAACTAAAATATTCACAATCAATTAGTATGTCACATATGCACTTATTAAATAAGCCAATATTGACTATAAGCAAGTGCGAGAACGGGTTGCCTAACCTATGTTGGTAACTGCACTATGTTGATAACTACACAATGTATCCTTCACATATGCAAGAGAGGAACTAGGCTGACTGCAACAAGGATCATTAATCACCCTAGCAGCACTTTCGTCCTGAGGGAGGCGATAGCAGAGTGCGATAGCAGTGAGTAGTGATGGAGTAGGTGATAGCAGTGTGCCAGAGAACATATAGGTGATAACACTGCATGACCTTGACTCTGAGCCGTATGGATGAAACCCAACAGGCAGGATAGTCTAAGACATTTAGAGCTCTACAATGTGTCTGCCATCTTCCCAACAGCAGGAGAGGCAAACCGTCTTGTGTCGTACAAGTCCACTCATATCTTGGGTATGTAGCACTCTCCTGGA